GAGAGTACCGTAGGGATGACAGTATTGTGGGGATGACAGTATTGTGGGGGATGAGAGTATTGTGGTGATGACAGTATTGTAGGGATGAGAGTACCATAGGGATGATAGTGTTGTGGGGATGACAGTATTGTGGGGGATGAGAATATTGTGGGGATGACAGTATTGTAGGGATGAGAGTACCGTAGGGATGACAGTATTGTGGGGGATGAGAATATTGTGGGGATGACAGTATTGTAGGGATGAGAGTACCGTAGGGATGACAGTATTGTGGGGATGACAGTATTGTAGGGATGACAGTATTGTGGTCCCAGGGGTGTGCACATTGAAAGTGGGAGCACCAGCTGAGTGCTGGGTGGCCCCTCCCAAGTGCTGGGTGGCTCTCCTCTCCCTTGGAAACCTTCCATGGGGCTCAGAGCCGTGGACACCAGTAAGTCTAACCCTTCTCTGCAGGTCAGGCCCTTCCCTCCAGTGCGCCCCAGGGCCTGAGCAGGACTCTGTTGTTTCAGGAGCCGGTGACCTTTGAGGATGTGGCTGTGCACTTCACCCAGAGTCAGTGGGCTGGCCTGGAGCCTGCGAAGAGGGCCCTGTACAAGGAGGTGATGCTGGAGAACTATGCACACGTGGCTTCCCTGGGTAAGGTGTCTCTTTCAATGGCCTTTTGCGACCGTGGGACATCCTTCTGCTCTCTTTTATGATTTTTAGTGGCCTTTGGTCTAATGGGGTATGTGTTAGGCTGCTAACCTCAAAATCAGCTGTTTGGAACCATCTGTTGCTCCTTGGGAGAACTATGATACTTTCTATTCCTGTAGTCAGTCTCTGAAACCCCCAGGGGCAGTTCTCTGTCCTATAGGATCGCTATGAGTTGGAATCGAATTGATGGCAGCGAGATTAGTTTTGAATTGGGTGTTTTGGGTGTTGTTGTTTGAGATGAAGACTCCAAGTCCGTTTCAGTTTTGTTTTTCTTGGATGTTGCCTTGGGAGAACCCTGGCTTCTCTGGCTTTGAAACTAAACTTCCCAGTCTGCAGGGCGGAGGGCCTGCTCTCTGCTCCACAGGTGAGCCTTCCCTTCTTCCGTCCTTCCAGTCTCTTGGCGACGCTGGCCCTCCCCTTTGTGGAGGCGTTTCTCAGGATCTCATCATGTGTGAGAAAATGTCACGAAAAGATAATGAAGTTTTTCCACAAACATTTTGAAGCGTCTTCGTAGTTGTGCTTATTCTGAGTTAGGGCCAGATTGCTAAGCCCCTCCCGAGGAGCACCGCCCTGGCTTCCCCCGGCAGCAGTCAGGGCACATCTGTGGGACCCACCCGTGGCGGCTCACTTGGGCCTGGACTTTGTTTTTCTTGCCCAGCAGCCTGTTAGAGAGGAGGCTCAGAGGAGTCTCAGAAACAAATATGATGGGATGTCTTCCCTCCACTCAGGTTTCTTTTTTTATCTTCCCAAAGTTGCCTTTCCATTCCCGAAACCGCGTCTGATCTCTCAGCTGGAGAGGGAGGAAGCACCATGGGGCCCGGATCCCTGGGAAACAGAGGCTTCGAGGGGCATCTGTCCAGGTGAGTAGGAGAAACATTGGGTTTCAAGTCTCATTCTGCCTTCCCATTTTAATGTGCTGGGAGGGCTTCTTCTGTTGGAGGGGACAGAGCTCCGTGCTCTCTCTGGTTCTCACTGAGTACCAGCCTCTAGCTGCGGCCCTGGCCCTAGGATTGCATGGCCCAGCCTGCCTTCATATCCAAGCATCTCCTCCCAGACCGGGGAGCAGCCAGCTCCTACACTGCTTTTTCTTTTCTTATGTACCAGGGGAGATAGTTAATTCTAGACCACTTTTCATCTCAAGTATGGGTTCAGTCAAATTAAAGGCAGATATGCTTCTGAGGGCCACCTGGGTTTTCTGTGTCTCAGCTATATGTTTGAGTTTAGGCTCTTCCACAAGAAAAGAATGGTGTTGACCTGCCTTTTTAATGTGAAAACAACCTAAAAGTCCTCTTTTTAAAGCCGTCCCCTTTAGGGCTGCACCGCATCTGTACACCTGGGTCTGTCGGGGAAGGAAGGAATGCCAGCACCAGCACGCCTGCACACAGCCCGAGAGTTCTGGGGAATGCGTGGTTACTTGGATCGTCTTTTCTTTTGGCAGCAGTTTTCCAGCCTCTGCCTGCTGTGGTTTCATAGACAGTGGTCCCCTTCACAGTGATGCTCTGAAAGCCTGCCCTTGATGCCAGCTTCTGCCCAGTGGATTTTTAAAAAGGAATAATCCTTTATCCCAGAATATTATGTGGATTATTTAAAAGTAGAATTATCAGGAGATTATTTAGAATTTTTTTTGAAAGGTGGGTGGTGGTTTCCACAGGCTATCGGTGGGTGTTTTTTAATCAATTTTTTTCTAGTTTGAGTTTCCCAACTTAATGGGCCTCCTGGAATGCCGGGGCTGCTCACACGTTCTCCACACCCCCAATCTCCCTGAACTTTTTTTCTTTTCCTGTTTTGCATTCTCTCCTTTTCTCTTAAATCATTCCCATTTCTTACTGAGTTTTTTCTCTATCCCATTCTCTTTCTCATTTTTTTTGTGTCTCTCCCCATCCACAAGGGTCTGCGTTTTCTCATGTCACCTGTCTGCTTCACCTCGCAGCCTTCCCTGCAGGTGGCACTTCTTGGCCATTTCCTTGTCTGATCCAGTGTCCTCACTTTGCCCATGGTGCCACTGCCCTACTTTCCTCACACTCCTGTGTGGGCACTGCAGCCATTGTATTGTGGGAAGTGACAATCTCATCCCACAAGAGAAAATTAAGACCACTGGGCCCTGCTTTTCAGCAAGTTCAGTAACTGGGAACACTTGTGATTTCTTTGGTCAGGTGGTGAGCCCTGGATCCAGAGTGAAGAGGCGGCTGTAAAGCAGGAACCTTCTGGCGACACAGAGTTGTCCAGAACGCCGGGAACAAGACCCCTCGGCAGTGCATCTCAGCACCTTGATTTTGAAGGCCAGGCAACAAAGCAAACTTTCAGCCCAAATCCAAACCTAGTACTAAGAGGTGGGATGAAGTTCTACGAATGTAAAGAATGTGGGAAAATCTTCAGATACAACTCAAAGCTTATTCGACATCAGATGAGCCATACAGGGGAAAAGCCTTTCAAGTGTAAACAATGTGGCAAAGCCTTCAAGTCCAGCTATGACTGTATTGTGCACGAGAAAAATCACATTGGAAAGGGGCCTTACGAATGTAAGGTGTGCGGCAGAGGTTTGAGTTCCAACACCGCCTTGACTCAGCACGAAAGGATCCACACAGGAGAGAAGCCCTACAAATGTAAGGAGTGTGGGAGAGCCTTCCGCAGGAACGCCGCCTATCTTCAGCATCAGAGATTGCACACGGGGGAGAAAATATATAAATGTAAGGACTGCTGGAAAGCTTTTGGGTGTCGATCACTTTTTATCGTCCATCAGAGAATTCACACCGGGGAGAAACCTTACCAGTGTAAGGAGTGCGGCAAAGCATTTACTCAGAAAATAGCCTCCGTTCAGCATCAAAGAGTGCACACCGGGGAGAGGCCTTATGAGTGTAAGGTGTGTGGGAAAACCTTCAAATGGTACGGAAGCTTTGTGCAGCATCAGAAAATGCACCCTCTGGAGAAGAAGCCTGTCAAGGCGCGTGGGCCATCCCTGATCAGTCCCCGGTACCCTCCTCTGACCTTCACTCCTGTTCCTCTGCAGAGTTCATGTGCTGCTCCAGCTGTGGCCGTGCCTTCGCTGACCTTTCCACCTGCTCTGCTCATTCCCAACTCAGGGCCTCTGCTCATGCTGCTGCCCACCTCCGGAACTCCTTTGCCACCCATCCAAGTTGTTCGTGTCTTCCAGGGTCTTCCTCCTACTGTGAAACCGTCCCCTGTTATTCTGGCCCCTGGGTCTCACCACTCATGAACTTGACCAGGGCTTTTTCTGTGGCCCCTCGGCCCAGCAGGTCTCCAACTGTGTGTGGGTTTCCTTTGTTTTGGTGTTGGTTTTTGTTTTCAATCCCTCTGTTTGTTGCTTGAGCATAAACACCCTTGCAGTCTGTGTGCATATAAAGACTATTTATATGATCGAGTCACTCTGTTGGTAGAAAGTGAATATACTTGCCATTTGTATGTGTACCTTTTCAGTTTGAGCATCAGTGGCTGTGTCTCCGTGTGGGAACGTGAGTGTTAGACGTGCTGAGAGGACACGTGGCGGTGGGGGTGACGTGCCATTGAGTCGGTTCTGCCCACAGCGACCCTGTGCACAACAAAGTGAAACTGCCTGGTCTTGCGCCCTCCTCCCATTGTTTGCGTGCCTGAGCCCTTCGTAACAGCCCTGGTGTCGGTCCCTCTGGTTGAGGACCTTTCTCCCTTGTTGCCCCTCCCCTTTACCTAGCACAGTGTCCTCCAGGGAATGCTCTCTCTTGACAGGATGTTTAAAGTATGTAAGACAAAGCCTTGATTCCTAGTTCTGCCTTACTTCTTCAAAGACAGATTGGTTTATTCTTTTTAGCAGTCCATGGTACTTTCAATATTCTTGTCCAGCAGCACGATTCAAATGCGTGAATTCTTCTTCAGTCTTTGTTCTTCAGTGTCCAGTCTTCACATACATCTGAGGCGATTGAAAATACTGTGGCTTGGGGGAGCTGCACCTTAATCCTCGTGACATCCATGCTTTTCAGTCCTCTCAGGAGGTCTTGTGCAGAAGGTTTACCTAACCGCAATGTGAATTGTCGTTTGATCCCTTGACTGTTGCTGCTTCCAAAATCCTTGACAGCTTCGTCTTTCCTCTATCCGTCGTGGTGTTACCTCCGTCCAGTTGAGGATTTGGTCTTCTTTGCGTTGAGTCACACTCCACACTGAAGGTTGCGGTCTTTGATCTTCATCAGCAAGTGCTTCTAGTCCTCCTCACTTTTCATTGGAAGAACACATTAGGTGTTGAGAAATTTTGCCAAAGAGGGCATCCCTGTATTGGGTCACTATGATGAGAAGCAGCCTGGGAGAAATAGGAGGTGTCATTTGGACCTGTGGGAGTAAAGAGTTGACCTGCTAACAATGGATTTTAGAAATAACTGCAGGTGGGTTAGTGAGCCAATGGTTAGGTGTGTATTAGAACAGTTGAACTTGTGTTGCCCTTGGCAGGGATCACTGAGGATTCCATGCATCTATGCAATTTTAACCAGTTAATTTATCCACATCCATATAGACGAGGGGGTAACCAAACCAAAACAAAAAAACCTGGAGTTGTGCTGGGTGGAGCAGAGATTTCATAGTACACATTTTTCCCATCAGGAGAACTTGGAGCATCTCATTCTGAGTTAGTGCACCCAGTGGCATCACATAGGAAGGTTCTCTCTGGTTACAGTGGTTTTTTTTTTTTTTTTTTTTGTAAAAGCAGTTTCACTTGAACCTCATTTTTATTTTGGTTGATTTAAGAGAACAGCGTGCAGCTGTGAAATTTGGTTCTTACTCAGGAAAAATGCCACAGGAAACTGTTGTGCTGTTGAACACATAAGGACCGCGCTACAGGAAATACTCAAGTGCACAAGTGGTTTTCTCATTTCAAAAAAAGTGAAATGTCTGTTGATGACAAATCTCGCGCTGTACGTCTGTCAGCTTCCCGAATGGACAAAAATGTCGACTTGTAGTACATTTGGAGTTCATTTCTTCAGGTCAGACATCAAGCTTTCTATCTAGAGGTTCTGAAAAGATTGCTAACAGTGTGTGACAAAGAAAGCCTGATTGTGGCAGCTGTGGGACTGGTTTTGCCACCACAACAATGCATCTACTCACGCAACCATCTCAGTGCACCAGTTTCTGGCAAAAAACAGCACGCCTCTCTTGCCCCAGGCACTTGTTTCTGTGAATGAAGAGGGACATGAAAGGACAGCAATTTGACGACATAGAAGAGGTGAAGAAAAAAACAAGGAGGTGCTGTCAGCCATCCAAACAGATGAGTTTGAAAAAATGTTCCCAAGAATGGAATTGCAGATTTGACAAATATATTCAGTGTAATGGAGAGTACTTTGAAGCCGATAGGTTGTTTTGTGAAAAAAAAAAAAAAGTAAATAGGTTTGGGGAAAAAATTCCATTTAAAAAATTTGTAAATGAAGAAATAAATTGAAGGTAATGACGGGAATTATTTACATGATAGTAATCATATCCTATCATGACTTTATATATTTTTCCAACCATGACTTTTAACATGGGTTTTTAAAAATTAATTTTTTTCTTTAATTTGGCTCTTGTTATCAGGATGTGCCTGACTTTTTGTTTCCTAACTAAGTCAGAAGGGCATTCATTCTTGTTATATCTGTCATGCAAATCTTTCTCGGTGGGCATTCGGGTGTTCTGTTGGCAAGCATTGCCTTCTACCCAGTTAGCATGACTCATGGATATTAACTGGGTGAGTTGCTCAAGTATGTATAATCAGTATGGGAGACATCTGAGTAAGCCTCCATCATCCGTTTTTTAGAAATAAAAAGGGCTGGGCAGAAAGTAGTATTGAGCCTTATTTGGTGGGTAAATGAAGTAGGATTTTGAGTTGCCCTTGGTACTGACCATGATGATCCTTTACAACCAAGCAAAATCTATGCTGAGCAGTTACTGAAAACGACTTGAGTACAGCATTGCTTGCATTAATGTGAACGTAAATGCAGAGGGGAGACCCAAAGCCCATCTGTAGACAATTGGACATTCCCTTATAGAAGGGTCACAAGGAAGAGACGAGCCAGTCAGGGTGCAGTAGAGCACTGATGAAACATACAACTTTCTGCTAGTTATTTAATGCTTCCTCCCCACCACTATCATGATCCCAATTTTACCTTACAAGTACGGCTAGACCAGAGCATGTACACCGGGACAGATAAGAGCTGGAAACACAGGGAATCCGGGACAGATAACCCCTCAGGACCAATAGTGAAAGTAGCGATACCAAGAGTTAAGGGGAAGGTGGGGGGAGAAAGGGGAAACCAATCACCATGATCTACATATAACCCCTTCCCAGGGGGATGGACAACAGAAAAGTGGGTAAAGGGAGACATCGATCAGTGTAAGACATGGAAAAACAGTAACAGTTTATAAATTACCAAGGGTTTGTGAGGGAGGGAGGGAGGGAAAAAATGAGCTGATACTAAGGGCTCAAGTAGAAAGAAAATGTTTTGAAAATGATGGCAATAAGTGTACAAATGTGCTTGAAATTATGTATGTATATATGTATGTATTGTGATAAGAGCTGTATGAGCCCCCAATAAAATGATTTTAAAAACCCAAAAAAACTCACCCAGTCATTTTTCAGGCCAAAGACCTACAATCTGTTAAAATTACAGCCAAGAAAATGCTACGGGACAGTTCTACTCTGTCACGTGGTCTCTATGCGTTGGACTTCACAACATCCAACAAGGAGCTTTGCCATGTAGCTGACTTACCTGGTGTATTTGTTCAAAGAGTAGTTTTCTCTCTTAATCTCCAGATGTTTGTTTTGGATACCTGCGATGATGCCCAGAACCTCAGTATGAACGAACAAAATGGCTAGGAGCTGTTTGGAGTCATGGGGAGGGATATATGGATTGTGCTAAGAGATGTAAGAGCTCCCAACAACAACCAAAAAAAAACAAAAAAAATTAAAAGTAGTTATTAATATCACAAAGAAGTACTTACTGCTCTTTGGTGGTGTAGTGGGTTACATATTGGGCTGATCACTGCAAGGTCATCAGTTTGATGCCACCAGGCATTCCTGGGGAGAAATGTGAGACTGTCTCCTCCTATGAAGACTGGCAGTCTCAGAAACCCATGGGGCTATTCTCCTCTGTTCTGTAGAATCACTCGCTATGAGTCAGAGCCAACTCTGGCAGTGGGCGGTATCTTTTGTTCATTTTTATAAAGTCGTTTCAATCATTGGGAGTTCCGTGGTAGGATTCTTGATTCTTTGATTACCAATAAACACACCGAATGTGTAGCCACTACCTACCTATCTGTCACCGGAGGTTTGCATTTTGCTATGATGCCAGACAAGTTTCAAGAGAGCTTCCAGATTAACGGAAGGCTTGGCGATCTACTTTGAACATCTATCTGCCAGTGAAAACCCTACAAATCACAATGCTCCATTGAGCAAAGTGGGATCACCTTGAATCTCAGGGGCTGACTGGATGGCAGCTACACAATATAAGGTAAATGAGTATTCATATCTTATTTCATAGTTCTTTAGAAGTTGCATAATTTAATCTAAAATGTAATCTACAAAGCCAGATGAAGGCCTATACATGGGGGCTTCAAAGCATTCGTGGGAAAAAAAAATCGTTACATTTTAATTACATTTTTCCATGTATTTTTCGACACTCCACTCGCATTACTGAAAGCTTGTTGACAGTTTTATTACATGACGCCAGTGGAGGTTGGAGCTTGTGACATCAGTGAGTGTGGCCGTGTCCATGGAGAGAGGTTGCACGGCAGGAGCTCCGACTGGAGGCACCAGGGCTAAGAAGCTGTCGGCTTCATTAGTTCTAGCCACTGCCCGGGCTGTGAGCAAGAGGAAACTGCGGGCCACCAGAGCCGGCCTCACCCTGACACCCTCCTCAGTACACAAGATTAAACAGTGTCTTAAAGATAAACCTGACCATGTAGGTTTGAATGTTGCTGTTGGAACCAATGGGGGCTTGCAATGGCCTTTCTTATACTTTAGAATTCACAAAGACAAAAGGAGATTCAGATGAAGAAGTTGTTCACAACGGTGTCAAAAAACAAAATATCTTATTGTGAATGAGGGGGAGTGCAGAGTGGAGACCCAAAGCTTATCTGTAGGCAACTAGACATCCCCTCACAGAAGGGTCACAAGGAAGAAACAGGCCAGTCAGGATACAGTATAGCAACGATGAAACATGCATCTTTCCTCTAGTTCCTAAATGCTTCCTCCACCACCACCACCCACCCCCCCCCCAATCATGATCCCAATTCTACTACACAAATCTGGCTAGATCAGAGGATGTGCACTGGTATAGATAAGAACTGGAAACACTTAGGGTTAGGGAAAAAAAACAACTGGGAACAGGGAATCTAGGACAGGCGAATCCCCCAGGACCAGTGGGGAGAGTAGTGATACCAGGATGGGAAGGGGAAGGTGGGGGAGGAAGGGGGAACCCATCACAATGATCTACATATAACACCCTTCCTGGGGGACAGACAATAGAAAAGTGGGTAAAGGGAGACATCGGACAGTGTAAGACATGAAATGACAATTTATAAATTATCGAGGGTTTGGGAGGGAGGGAGGTGGGGAGGGAAAGCTGATGCCAAGGGCTCAAGTAGAAAGCAAATGTTTTGAGAATGATGATGGCAACCAATGTACAAATGTGCTTGACACAATGGATGTATGGATGGTCATAAGAGCTGTACGAGCCCCCAATAAAATGATTTATTAAAAAAATGAAAGCAAAAAGTTAAAAAAAAAGTGTTGATCGATAAGAAAGCACAGCTAACCCTTTTTAGGAGCAGAGATGGACTACCTAGAAGATAGATTGTCCAGTGAGTTTGTGTTCAGCCACGCCAACATCAAAGGGTCGTGTGCTGCGGAGAGAGCCTGAGTATGGGAAACTTCGTGACTCCACTGCCCGGAGCTCCAGGGATGCTCACGGAAACCTTGAGCTTAGAAGGAAACCATATGCCCATCACGGGCGTAGATCCACAATGTCTGACTGCCTGACAAAGGAAATAAAAGTAATGCATTTGAGAATGAAGCCGTGAGTTGATTCACAAAGAAGAGACGCTGCGTCGTTAAGGGCCGGGCATGAGGAATCAGTGATCTCTTTGGGTCATTTTTCTGTAAAGGAAGAAAAAAAAATCCCACCTGCACTTGACTCTTGCATCCTTTCTGTTAACCAATTTCATCCGAGTTACCTCCCCAGTAGGATTTCAGGATACCCATTCTCGTTGTGTTTGCATGAATTAGGCCTTTCTTGACGGACTTGAAATGTGGGAGCCCTTTGTCATTACTCGACCAGGTTGGTGGCCCTTCAGATGCAGGGACAAGAGCTCTGCTGACCTGGCTGCTGATCAGAATGCGGCCGGGGATGGTTTTCCGTCCAAACGGCCCAGCATTTTTTAATATTTTTGTCAAAAACTTCATTGCTCAAAGTGTGGTGAAGAAAGTAGATGGTGCCTGGCTATCAATTGGAACAGTGTCCAGAGTCTTAAAGGCTTGTATTTAAACAAGCAGCCATCTCAGCGAGGACACAGAAGAAGCAGACCAGCTTGTGTGATCTAAAGATGACAATTACAAAATTCAAATATGG